TCAGACCACCCCAGCTAAGTGGGTGCGGCTGGACGGACCCCTACCCTGGGTCTTAAAACATGAGGGGAGGTGTGGGAGGCCCCCGCGCTGTCCCCACCGACCTGCTGGAGAAGGCAGGTTAGAAGCTGTGGAGGAAGATTCCCAGGCACTGTGGTAAGGTATCTCAGTGATGGCTCCCGTGGAAGCGTGTATGGCGCTGGCGGGTCATAGTAATTCGGACCTTCTGTCCCCAGGCTGAAGTCAACTCCACGGCCCAAGTTCTCGGTCTGCCTGCTGGGGGACCAGCAGCACTGCGATGAGGCCAAAGCGGTTGACATCCCTCACATGGACATAGAAGCTCTGAAGAAACTCAACAAAAATAAGAAGTTGGTGAAGAAGTTGGGTGAGTGGTGGTGTGGATCGGGCTCTGAGTACCCTGGCTAACTTGGGAGGGCTGAGGAAGCAGGATGGTTTTCCCTGTGCTCAGGTTTCCATGTCATGGTTAACTGCTGGGAACAGAAAGCTGACCAGCATCAGCCTGAAGTACAGAAATCTATTTAGAAACTACCCAGAAGAGCAAACAACCTGTTAGGAGTGCAGAAGGTCTGACAGGTCAGCCCCCCAGGGGTGAGGTTGATTGTTCTCCTTCGGAAGGAGGGGATGTAGGAAAATTGCTCCTGTCTCCCTGAAAGTTTCGCCCTTAGCCGGTGTTCCTCGGGTCAGGGAGCTGGAGTGCGGCAAAAGCTGAAGGCAAAAGTTTGCTTTAGTCCTGCAGTACTTAAGTGAATAGAATGAAATTTGCATATTTTCATTTGGTAAGAGATAAAATCTTTGCCTCCCTGCAAAGTCATTTTGATATGTATCTTAGGCAGGCAAGAAAACCTTTCCACTCAATCCATAATTAGCCATGGAACCATATGCAATTGGGAAATGACATAGGATACCACGGCTGCTAGCTGAGCCTTTCCGAGATGTGTGATCCATCCACGCGGGCACAGGCTGCAGTAGGAGGCTCCTGGTAGAGCTCAGAGTTCAGCGTTGGTCACCTGTGGCTCAACAAAAGCTTCAGGGAAGTGAACTACGTACAGTGAGAGCGTGGGACTGCTGTCAGGATGTGAAGCTGAGTGCTGGCAGGCTTGGGTGGTGTGGCAGGAGTAATTTCTAGTGTAATACTAGTAAAAACTGCTTAGGTTCAGCTAGTCAGGACTCCGGGATTGTGGAAATGCACATGTGAGGGAAATGGAGCAGTGCAGCCTCAGCTGAGCTCTTAGTTTCAAGCTTGCTGTAGGAGCTGAGAGTCCATCCTTACCTACGTTGGTTCTCTCCTCACAGCTAAGAAGTACGATGCCTTCCTGGCTTCCGAGTCCTTGATCAAGCAGATTCCTCGAATCCTGGGTCCGGGTCTGAACAAAGCCGGCAAATTCCCTTCTCTCCTCACTCACAATGAGAACCTGGTGGCCAAAGTTGATGAGGTCAAATCTACCATCAAATTTCAGATGAAGAAGGTAAAGCAGGGCTTTTCCTCTCCAAGGCAGCTACATACCTGAGAGTTACTTGTGACAGTGGTCGCTTGTATGTGGCTGCGATCTCCGGTCTGGGCTGTAGGTGTCCCTCGAGCTTCTTCCTAAAACAGCAGCTGGTGAGAAGCATCCAGTGCTCTCCTCTGCAGTGAAGGCAGACTGTACCCAGAGCATTCAGCTGCTAGCTGGGGAGGAGTAATTTATCTGTGGTTGAAAGATCTTAGAGTAAATGATTAGGAGATGATCTTGATGTTTCAATGCTGAGCACAATCAGTCATAATTAACGCTTCTTACAGTAAGTGGGTGACACTTGCGGGGTGGGTCCGTGCACACAGCAGTGCTTTGCCAGAGGCGAGTTTGGGACTTGACTCTGCAAGTGAACTTTGGAGCAGCTCTGCGGATATCTGCTCTTGCTGTCAAGAGATGTCAAGGCGAGCTGACTCCCTAAAACCAAAATAACCCTGTTTGGGCGTTTTAATCTTGTGCCAGCGGTCTGAATGTGACTCATGGGTATTACTCGGAATTAACAGCTCTGCTAGCTGAGGTGCATCCCTGGACTCCAGCTGATCTGGGCCTGGGGGCACAGCAACTGGGAGGACACAGCAAATGTGATAGTTTGCAAATGCTCGAGCATTTTAAGTAACTGAGCTAATGATGTCCTGACACTTCGCCTGTCAGCTCACTTGTAAATCCTTTTGTCTTCAGCCTGTGGGGAACATTGACTTACAAGCTTCTCGGCGAGGCTGGCAGGCAGGGGCTTGGCCTCTCTGTGTCTTGTTTGCGGAAAGAAAGGGCTGGTGGCTGGTGCCCAAAACAAAAAGTGAAGCTGGCGCCATGCTTAGCAGTGAAGTTTGGAGCTAATCGTCTGTACTGCGCCGGCGTAGCGGTTTGCAGGGCACATGCCAACGCCGCCCAGCGAGCGGGGTGTGGGAGCGGAGTTAAACCAGAGGTCTGCTCTGGCTCAGCACAGCGTGTTACACGTCCTTCCCGCTTTCCCCATCTCTGCGAGGCAGCGGTGCTCGTTGCAAGTCACCTTTGCGCTCTGAGGAAGCAAGCAGTTGTTCAGAGACGGCAGCCAGATGCTACCAGACATTCATGGGCGCCACATGCCAAATAAAGAGCTCTGTGGAAACACCCGTGGATAAGCTGGAGAAGTCACATCCAGCTGACAGAACATGAGATAATTTGATACCCTGATGAGTTTAGGTCAGCACTAGGCTGTTTTATCAGTCGCTTAGCTGTAATCTTTGATTTCCCCACAAAACCTCTACCTGCACGAGTGACCCTGCTGTCTGTGTCCCCCAGGTGCTCTGTCTGGCTGTGGCCGTCGGTCACGTGAAGATGACAGAAGACGAACTCGTCTACAACATCCACCTGGCCATCAACTTTCTGGTGTCCTTGCTGAAGAAGAACTGGCAGAACGTGCGTGCTCTGTATATCAAGAGCACTATGGGGAAGCCCCAGCGCCTGTACTAGTTGGGCAGCAATAAACTTTTAGGATACCGACAGCTGTATGTTTGGTTGTGTTCCTCCAAAGCTTGTTGGGAAGGGTTTGCTGAAGCAAGAAATGCTGTCTTGAGCTGATAGGGACATGAATTCAAGGAGAATATCAGAGGTTTTGAGGGAAGGAGCCTCATTGTCCTGCATTCAGAGCAAGGTGGGGAGGAGGAACAGCTCTACTCACATTCACAACAAGCAAAACTGAGGTTACCACAGCTGAGGGTGTGCAGTGCAGGTGTAACTGCTCAGCAGACGTGCTGTAGCCCCAAGACCCCCAGCTCACCCACAGAGGGGACCCCTTACCTTGTGCTGCCGTCACCTGAAGCCATCCTGCAGGCAGGGCTCTGCTCCATCCCTGCAGCCTCCCTGCCCTGGGGGAGTGGGCTGGGGGGCACTGGCCTTTATAGGTGTCTGCTGCCCCTGCAGTGACCAATGACTGGGGCCTGGGGCTCCTGCCCAGCAGCAGCTCGTGAGGACTTGATGGTGTCTTCCAGCTGGTCCCAGTTACCCACAGGATCCAGAGGGATGGAGGGGGGTGCAGGGTGGGAGCTGCAGCTCGGCGCAGGGCTTGGGGCCGAGGTAAAGAGTGTTTTCCATCCCCTCTGCTTCCCTCTGAGCTAGTCCCTGCCCAACTCCATGTTCTGGGCTAAAAATGAGATACGTTGCATCTAATTAACGTATATAAATAAATACATTGTGTAATGACTGGCGAGCTTATGGAAGTGTGTAGGATTTAAGCTTCTGGGGGAAAAAAAACCTATGCCTTTGAAAAGAGCTTGTCTTAGCATCCGAGGGAACAAAACAATGAAAATAGCTTTGGGTCCTGCTGTTAGAAACCTTTAAAATAAGTGTCGGAGCCAGTTTTTGAAAGATCAACACAACACCAAGAAATTCCATTTAATAATTAAAAAAAGACAATACAAAATGCAAACATTTCTTTTTACAAAGTTCAGATACATTTTTTTTCTTTTAATCAAGTGCAAATAACTTCATGAACTACATCTTTCTCATTTAATCATTTTTACTGGAGATGGTATGTCGTGGCCCGCTGCAAAAGGCAGATATAAATATTCCAACATGAAAAAAACAAAAAAAACCAACAACCCTTATTTATGTTCACCGCGTCAAAACATTCAATACATCCGAGGTGGCTGATGATGCAGTTTTCAGCCTTTCAAACCTTTTCTGGGTGTTGGGTGTGGGTGAAAAGAGGGACTGAACTGCAGTGGGGTGGTTCTGGTGGCCCCGTGGTCTTTTTGGGGGGTTTATTTGAGATATTTGGTGAAAGGAGGGGGAGGAGACGTTACCAGGTGTTTTTGGCCATTACAGGAGGACGTGCTGGCCCTTCCAAAACTGCTTTAGGGGAGCAGAGGTGATCGGTGCAGTGACAACGGTGACAACCAGGACACCCCGAGGCTCTGGGAGCCCCAGTCCCAGCAGGGTCAGAGCGACAGCAACCCCGCCGTTAAATCCCAAAGAATTAATAAACTCCTCTGTGAGCACGAGTGGCTGCGTCGCACCAGGGCCACCGCAGCGGGGTTAGTCATTCCCGGGTTGTTTTTATTTTTGCTGTTGTTTTTTTTTTTTGTTTTCCCCTTCTAAATATGAAAGACCCTTTCAACGGTCACTGCTCCGCTGCGACTGCCCCAGAGCAATAAACCCCCCCCTCCAAATCCCTACAACAGCTTTTGTGCATCAAAGCAGCTGCTTTCAGACACCAACCAAGTGACAAACAGCTCAGCCCACAGATGTTGAGCTTCCAAACAGGCTGGGAGCTGGGCGGCAGGAGGGGTAAATCCACAGCTGGGATGAATCAGGACAGACTTTTCCAACCGACGCATCTTGGGGACAAACCTCAGCCCCCCCTTTGCCAGCGCTCACCCAGCCCGCAGCCCCTAACAGAGCCCAGAAGAAGCTCTCGGGGTGCTGGAGCAGCACGGATCGAGGAGGGAAAACACGGGCGAGCAGCTGCCTCCCGGTTTGGGGAAGGACTGATCCGGGGGGGGGAAATGGCAGAGCAATAAATAATTGTTCATTAAGAGCAAGGCTCGCCCCAGATGTGGTCGAGGAGACAGCGAGAGACAAGCGAGGACAGG